AATATGATAATGGTTTTTAATGATCACTATTAATATATTAATCGTGACGGCCCAAATGATTCTATCCTATACAGGCCAAATAGTCCAGCATAATAACTGATGCCGTCCGCAACGACGAGGAGCTCAACAAACTGCTGGGAGGCGTCACCATTGCTCAGGGAGGCGTGCTGCCCAACATCCAGGCTGTGCTGCTGCCCAAGAAGACCGAGAAGGCCAAGTAAAGACGCCCCGAGACTCGACTCACAACAACGGCTCTTTTAAGAGCCACGCATTCACAGAAAAGAGCACACTTCATAATCTTGTCGTAATTGATATCCAGTCAGACCTTGGCAGAAAAACCTATGGAAACAGATTCAAAATGATGTTCACTTTCCTACATTAAAGCAACACAAGGGTTTTCTTGTCATGGGAGACGTTAAAATTCTGACACAGAGATTTGCTTATCTGCTCATGTTGTCTTTCAAAACCCAAGGCGAAACCCCTGACACGAAGACAGCGACATCGACATCTCCAGCAGGACGTATGTGCGCGGTACTGGCTCCGTTTTTTAATGGGAGAGAATATCAGACTTCGCTGTAGGTCTTCAGTGAAACTAACCCGCTGCACAGGCTTCTACAGACGGTAGTCTGTACATAAATAGACGGTAAACAGAAGCCTGCTGATCACGGCAAACACCAGGATTCAAAAGTACATTTCAGAGCACTAATTTGTTTTAATTAAACACAGAACAACATTTCAAGGAGCCTCTCCTCTGTCGTAGACTCAGCAGACCTGCTCTGCTCTGACCTGCCCAGTTATGAGAGCCTGCACTTAGTGGTGGATGGGTGGTGTTCCAGTTCTACAGTATCCTGTTGTAAATGACGGTGTGCTTCCACACTTGATGGGGTGGGGGTGTCTCTAAAGACTTCAGATTCTATGGTACTTGTGGGGAGGGGGCAACTTCTTGAAGCTCCTCCATCTGAAGATTTAGAGGCTCCTTTGCATCCTCTTCTACTGCTGTCACGTCTTTATCACTAAACTGACCGAGCAAACTGTGTGCTGTAAAATATATCATAGTGATGTCATTAATGGTGTGTGTGGTACAAAAAGGATTTTTGCATCTTCCCCTCTTTGTTGTAAGTGTGCTAAGAGAAACTCCATTTCTTTTTCCCACTTCCACTCTCTTTGGGATCCAGCACCAGAGCTGCTTGGTGCCTTTTGTCTTTTGAAACGGACATAGCTGGCTCTCAGCCCCTTCCACCTCTTTTTTCAATCTTCCTCTATAGGGAAATGCCACATCAAATCAGAAAGTAATAATAATAATAATATCAATAGACTAATTATACATGAAGCGCCACCCAACTCCGGTAGGTTGTATTTTGATTATAAGGGCAACTTCTCTGTTGTCCTTTTGGCCCATGCTGATGCAAAGTGTAGATTACAGTACATACAAGTGGGAGACTGCCTAGAGTGGGAGAGCTGTCTGTAACATGGTTCACATAAGTGGATTGGTGGTGGGTCAGTGATGGTCTAGAGAGGCAGATCCATGAAGGGACACACAGACCTCTACAGTCTGACTGCCATTAGGTATCAGGATCAAATCCTTGAACCCACTGTCAGACCCACAGACTGTATAAAGAAGTGAAGAAGTGAGTGTGATGTCATCCACAGCATTTGGCTCCACTCAGATGGAGCTTTGCGATGCTGGCGTTACAAGGACATTGCCCTGTCCATATTTATGTAGACATCCAGCTTTTTCTTCACATTAAGATATGATACATGTGACTTAAGATCTGACATGTGATGATTTGTCATTTTCCATTAAACCACAGCAAAAATCCACAAATGAATCAAGGAATTCAGTAAAATGATATTTAGATTTGTGGCCTTTTATATGACAGGACCACTGCAGTATGAAATGGAGAGAGTGGGTGGAGACTTACTGAGGGTGAGCCCACAATATGGATGTGGTAGCAACCATATATGTGCAACGCTTTAAACCACAGCACCGCCGGTGCAATTCATGACTTTTATAATCAGTTCTTTGTATAGCTACAGACTATATACATTATTGTCTGCAGAATTCATTTGTTATTAATGTGTCATTACTTACCCCATGTGTTTAATTTGGTGTGTCCATCCTTTACAGCACCATCTGCTTGTTATGGCAACATTATAACTCCAGTGTCATTTAGAGGTATGTTCCTGAGCTCCAGAGATCCAGCAGAGATGAACAGAGTGATTGTGCCTTCATACTCTGGAGCAGTAGTTGTTAGGAACAGTAGAGCAGATGAAAGCTTTAGTGCCAAACACCCTTTGTGTTGGATAAAGAGACGTGGTGAACATCACAGCATCTCCCACAGCTGCATCTACAGAGCCTTGTGATAATACACCAGCTCCTGAACAGAAACCTGCAGAACAACAGTGCACAAAACTAACTTGACTTTACTATAAAACACCAACAGAGTCAACTTGATGCTATTCATTCACATTTAGAGGAGACTCAATGCAGATTTACTGTTCTTATCTCCAGAAGACACTCCAGTGACAATGTGTCAGGTGCCAGCAAGGCTAGAACTGAAGTGAAAGAACCTGTGAACAGGAAGAACAATGTTGGATTTTACAACAGTTAGGGTCACTGTCCTTATCTAACACTAACACTTTCAATTATTATCTATGTGTTCTGCTCTCAGCTCAATTGAAGCATATCCCGGTGTATCTGTGACACTGTTCTCACATTGATATTTGTAGCCATAGAGCTGTACTTTATTAATGAAGTGTAGCCTGAATGATCCTGAGCAGCTCAGTCATGTGAGCTGCCAAACAGGAATGCCACAGATTCTGCTGATTGTGTTCATATTCTATAAAAAATAACCTCAGTAAGAAAGTCTGGACTACAGAAAAATCTACATTCATCTACTTGTTTTAACGCGTTACATGCACTGTGACTGTATGTGAAGCCTCAGATGTTTTGTTTGTGATTTGATTTGAAGCTGGTGAAGGGAGTATTATATGAATGTAGTCCTGTAACTCTCACTGTTTGAGGGGAGCTGTAGGAGGAAAAATGTCTCTAGTTCCAGTCCTTACGTGTCCTTCTGTTCTTCTGTGTCCTCGTCAGTTGGACAGTGCTGTAAGGTGCAGGGACAGTGGACGTGTGGACAGTAGCTAAACGAGGACACACCACGGTCCAGTGTGTGTTTGATGGATGTGGATCTCCCAAACACTTCTGTAACAACAACAGGTGCCTGAATAAAGAGACATACTGACTGACTGAGACTTCAGGGACCACAAAGCACAGAGAGACGGGTCGCTACAGTGTAGAGGACAAGAGAAAGATCAGGACTTTCACACCTGTGTGTGAAACCATTCTCTATGTGAGCGTTACACACATGCACCTCTCACACTGTGGCTGGTGCCGCTGTTCTCTGGAGACATGGTCACTTTGGCAGGGAACAGAACACAAGGTCAGAGAGTTTGTGATCACCAAAGCTGAGCTCGCAAAAAGACACCGCAACATTTTCAGTCAATCATGTACCAAAACATCCTCCAAAATATGATTTTGTGAACAGAGTCTGGTTCAAGTCTGTTTTCTGTTTGTGATGAGCGACTGGTGCGGTATAAATCATTTGAGTTTAGAGTCTTCCAGTGCATATAAAAGGTTTTCAGGGTTTTCTAATCATAACTTTATTAAGACTATGGCAATTAGTGAAGAAAAGTCAAACACAATTTGACACAAGTTTCAGAAAGTGAATTCTAAAACGAAATCCCTCTTTCTATGTCATCACTACTAAAAAGTCCATTCAAAATGTCGGGACAAAAGACAATATTAATGTTAATTTACGACAATAAAGGAAAGCTGTTGTATTTATTTGTATTTGTGAAATAATAACTATTATGTAAATGAGGCTTTTGTTTGCAGTATGGTGGTAAGGTAACATTCATAAATCACAAAACAAAGGTGGATTTGAGCATTATTGAACATGAATGAGGATATTTTATTGTTGACTGAGTGATCATGTCTCTGAACTATTAGTATGACTCAAATTTTAAACAATGAAAAAAACTGAAGCAGTAATAAAACGATCCAGAAGTTGCCTGTTTGGACATTAAATGTAGAACATTTCTTTTTCTTTTCAACATTCAATAGAACCAGCAATACTGGAACAAAACAGTCATTTCAGGTGGCAGTAGCTCAGTTGGTAGAGCATTCGCCCACTGATCTGAAGGTTGGCAGTTCAATTTCCAGCTCTTGACATGAACATCACAGGTTGAGCAGTCAGATCCACTGACCCACAGGTTGGCTGGTTTGATTCCAGCTCCCACAGATGAATGCTGCTGTTGTGTCCTTGGGCAAGACACTTAACCCACCTTGCCCCACAGTGTCTGCCCACACTGGTGTGTGGTTCCTTGTTGTAAAGTGCTTTGAGTGCCTGAAAGGAAAAGCGCTATAGAAAAATGTGACCATTTTGTAGTGTGTTCAGTCCGTGTGCAGCAGCAGATCAGGAGCAGCGTTTCTGTTTTTGTGCTTTGGCTTTTTTGTGAGCACAGAGAATCCCAGTTCACACAAATATGTGATAGTGAAAGGAAAAAGCAGAGAAATACTGACCCTACTGAGGACAGGAGATTCTGACCAAATGTTGATCCAGAATGATGAAAAGGTCACAGATCAAAACTGTATATTACAGACCTACATGCAGATCATGACAAGAAAACAAAAAGACAAAAAGAATCTTTTGCGATCCACCTGAGAGTTGTGACCCAGTCTTTGGGAAACAATGACCTAGGATATACCAGGATGGGAGGGCATCTGACATTTAGGAGGATGGGGGAACAACAGAATATGGCTTTTTTACTTCCCCTGGCAAGTGCAATGCATCAAGTAAACACAAGAGGGCAGCCAACACCAGTAGATAGATTTTAGGTCAATTTCTTACACTGTTGGTTGTATCTGTGCTCGATTGCGCGCGCGTCTGCGCACAGAGTTCTGGTCCAGAGTTCACAGACAAACATGAAAACTTGTTTCTCCTGCGTAACCCAAGAGTCTGGCTGCTCAGACAAACTGTGCGCGGTGTTGTGCTGATGCTCCGGGTGATGCGCACGGTGCTGTAGCGGGCCTGTGGGCTGTGACATGCCGGGAGGAGTGCAGTGGACCCCGGGGTGCACACAGACATGCAGCGGGCCGTGGAGGAGCTGGTCCGGGTGCTGGAGACGTACCGCGGCAGGGACAAAGTGGTGAGTGCGCACGGTTCATCCAGGCGCAGGGCTTATGCTCATATCATCATGTATGTAGGCCTATTCACACTATTATCATCACAGTATCATCATGTATGGAGGCCTATTCACACTATTATCATCACAGTATCATCATGTATGGAGGCCTATTCACACTATTATCATCACAGTATCATCATGTATGTAGGCTTATTCACACTATTATCATCACAGTATCATCATGTATGGAGGCCTATTCACACTATTATCATCACAGTATCATGTATGGAGGCCTATTCACACTATTATCATCACAGTATTATCATGTATGGAGGCCTATTCACACTATTATCATCACAGTATCATGTATGGAGGCCTATTCACACTATTATCATCACAGTATCATCATGTATGGAGGCCTATTCACACTATTATCATCACAGTATCATCATGTATGGAGGCCTATTCACACTATTATCATCACAGTATCATCATGTATGGAGGCCTATTCACACTATTATCATCACAGTATTATCATGTATGGAGGCCTATTCACACTATTATCATCACAGTATTATCATGTATGGAGGCCTATTCACACTATTATCATCACAGTATCATCATGTATGGAGGCCTATTCACACTATTATCATCACAGTATCATGTATGGAGGCCTATTCACACTATTATCATCACAGTATTATCATGTATGGAGGCTTATTCACACTATTATCATCACAGTATCATCATGTATGGAGGCCTATTCACACTATTATCATCACAGTATCATCATGTATGGAGGCTTATTCACACTATTATCATCACAGTATCATGTATGGAGGCCTATTCACACTATTATCATCACAGTATCATGTATGGAGGCCTATTCACACTATTATCATCACAGTATCATGTATGGAGGCCTATTCACAGGATTATCGTGGGGGACGGGGCCCTTGCAAGTTCTCCAAACTCCCTGTCTTCAAAAAGGTTCTGAAAACTCACCTGTTCTAAACTGTCTTGAGGTTAGGAGAGCTGTGTATCACAGTTTGTGACATTATCTCTTCGTATAAAAGTGTTAAAATAAAGTTCTGAGTGTATTTTTTAATCAGCAGATCAACCAAAAATGACTAAACCCCAGCACCTGCTCCAGTCCTGAGTCAGTGCTAGTGCAGCCTCTGCAGCTCAGGGAGAGAATTCTGGAGGTGCTGAGCTTCACATGAGACATGAACATAAACTGAGAATGAGACACTTGGACGTGTCTCTGTCTGCAGGTGAAGACTCTGGAGACATAGGCTCAGTTGTGATTGTAGTACTATTGTAGTACTATTGTAGTTTTATTGTAATACCATTCATCATGATGTCATCATGAAGTGTTTATCACTAGATGGGGAGAAAAGACAAAGCATTACTCAGCATAATTCAAGTAGAAGTATTCAAATATTTTTCAAGTAGTAAAACCTTTGTTGTGATACAGTACTCTCTGAAGTACTTCCAATTGAATTCAATACTACCTAATTCTGCATACCTTTATGATTGTTTTATTTACTCCTGTATAATTCTTCTCTTTCTTTAATAATGTGTATAATATAGACATTACTTATAGATAATAACCTGACCCCTCCCCGCTCCTTGTGGCAGATCCGGACGGCGTGTTATGGGGCTCAGCTGGTGGGTGGAGTCTTGTGTCGTGACTCCTCTCCTGATGGATCGTCTCGGCGTTTGGGGCGGAGCCTGCTTCTGTTCTCCACTCAGCTCAGCCACTGCAGAACCGTCCTGAGGCTATTTGATGACCTGTCCATGTTGGCTTACTCCCAGAGCTACGGCCTGGGCGCTACGGTCAGCGTCAGCACCACACCCTCACATCACAAACATCATGATATAGACCTGAACTCAAGTCACCAGATTTCTGAATATGAAATGAGATGAATGAGATTTGACTTTAAAGACAGGGGACACTCCTTATTTCTCTAAAACGTGGTCATCATCGTGTGTAA